CCTGTCTTAAATCTTCAGAGGCCATTGGCCATTGAAATTTGGTTGATTGGCATTTTAAGCTTGCAATTAATCAAATGACTATTTTATTTGTAAGCTGCTTTGAATTTGATTTCATCATAGGGTGGAATATGAATACCTTAATAAATAAAGACTTGTCTGTACCGTCATTAGTTACCATCAAACACGTGATTACAGCTGCAAATCTATGTGTTTGTTTGGAACCATATTCACTGTATAGGGGCTATTTATTTTCTCCTGCCAACCTAGCAGTTCGAAAGCACATCAAAGTGCAAGTAGATTATTAGGTACCGCTCCAGCGGGTAGGTAAACGGCATTTCCTTGCACTGCTCTGGTTCACCAGAAGCGGCTTAGTCATGCTGGCCACATGACCCGGAAGCTGTACGCCGGCTCCCTCGGCCAATAAAGCGAGATGAGCGCTGCAACCCCAGAGTCGGTCACGACTGGACCTAATGGTCAGGGGTCCCTTTACTTTACCTTTAAGAACTGTGTGTTGAGGATGACAGTAAAAGTTGCACATGGATCACTCAGAGTTTCTCTCCTCAATCTCATATGAGTCTCGAAGTCACCTGAATCTACCCTATGCCATGTAGAAAGTAAGATCAGTGTGGGAGACTTGTATAGACTGATGAAACCTTTCAGGAGAGTTCTAATTCTGATTCCTGTCCAGCTCCCCCTCTCTTGATTTACAATGCGGTTTTCAAAAGATGCATGCCCTTTTTGGTCTTTAGAAGAAAGGTGGACATTATCACCATTATTGGGTGTTAGAAATGTTTAAGATTGTTTGGTGCTTTGTATTGGCTGCATCATGTAGGCCAGAGAGAATTCTAATGACTGGGCATCCTTCTGCCATGTCTGGGGCTCAAACTAGACTGGGAGCCCTGCCCCCTTCTTTTTCAGAATTCAGAGACACAGCTCATGAGATTCAGCAGAAAAGGATTAAGCCCCCACAGAGCAGCCCCTTTGGTTTGAACCCAGCCTAGTCCAGAGGAGGGGGCACTGAGCTTCATTGTCTTATTGTTTTTATAGACAAAACGTTCCAGCCGGCTCTTCATCTTGCCTCCAAAGTCTCAGCCACATCGGTCAGATGGGAGTGAAGGATAAAGGGAGATGGCTGAAACAAAGATTGCACTATTCTGTTGCTCTTGCATCCTGAATGTTGAGGCAGTTTCAGATTTGATAGTCATGGAGTTGATTTATAGATGGCATATTTAGTCTATTCTGGCCACTACCAGGAAAAAATTGATACTGCCCTCTCTCCCTTGAACAGATCCCCAGATCAAGGCATCAAGTAATTTCAATTCCTGTACAACGACAGTCTGGTTGTACACCTGCCCTGGTGTTGTTGTTGTTACTAGAGAACCTCGTTGTGTAGTATGGGTGAGACCTTCTCCTTAATGTTTGTAGGGCTGCACGAGTCAGCCTAGTGGCTGCTTCCAGTCTCTGCATAATCCTCACTTGTAAGGTCCAAAACATGTCCCTGCTCTTCCATTTATCAAGCCTTGTTGGCTCCCATTTTCTTTGTTATTTCTGTTGTACTTAGTTTTGTGAGCTCTTTGTTCAGGGGTCATGTCGCATTGGTATTGGGTTCCATGTCTAGCACATTGTTGGTGCTCCACTATTAAGTAGCGATAGTGTTGTGGGTGAAAGCAGCTAAATTCTCCTGTCCTTTTCCATTACTGAAGTTCCTCCTACAAGATACTGTCCATAATTAAGCTGTTGTTGTTTTTCCTTAATTAAGGATGAGCCTTGATGTTCTTCCTAATTCCTTGCGAATCTGGCTTAGGGCTGTTGGACTAGAAACAGCAGGCCTTTCTTTCATTGCGTGGCCAGCTCTCAGAAGGAACCAGAATGGTGCTTGCCCTTCAGTGCAAGCAAACCCATATTTGGACTGTTTGGCAAACCTTAAAGGAACCCCTGGGATTCCCATGCTCTTGCCTGTGAATAAGTGGGGCAAAAAATAAGTGGGCCCGGTCTTATTCAACATCTTCATCAATGACTTGGATGATGGACTCAAGGGCATCCTGATCAAATTTGCAGATGACACCAAACTGGGAGGGGTGGCTAACACCCCAGAGGACAGGATCACACTTCAAAACGACCTTGACAGATTAGAGAATTGGGCAAAAGCAAACAAGATGAATTTTAACAGGGAGAAATGTAAAGTATTGCACTTGGACAAAAAAAATGAGAGGCACAAATACAAGATGGGTGACACCTGGCTTGAGAGCAGTACATGTGAAAAGGATCTAGGAGTCTTGGTTGACCACAAACTTGACATGAGCCAACAGTGTGATGCGGCAGCTAAAAAAGCCAATGCAATTCTGGGCTGCATCAATAGGAGCATAGCATCTAGATCAAGGGAAGTAATAGTGCCACTGTATTCTGCTCTGGTCAGACCTCACCTGGAGTACTGTGTCCAGTTCTGGGCACCACAATTCAAGAAGGACACTGACAAACTGGAACGTTTCCAGAGGAGGGCAACCAAAATGGTCAAAGGCCTGGAAACGATGTCTTATGAGGAACGGCTAAGGGAGCTGGGCATGTTTAGCCTGGAGAAGAGGAGGTTAAGGGGTGATATGATAGCCATGTTCAAATATATAAAAGGATGTCACATAGAGGAGGGAGAAAGGTTGTTTTCTGCTGCTCCAGACAAGCGTACACGGAGCAATGGATCCAAACTACAAGAAAGAAGATTCCACCTAAACATTAGGAAGAACTTCCTGACAGTAAGAGCTGTTCGACAGTGGAATTTGCTGCCAAGGAGTGTGGTGGAGTCTCCTTCTTTGGAGGTCTTTAAGCAGAGGCTTGACAACCATATGTCAGGAGTGCTCTGATGGTGTTTCCTGCTTGGCAGGGGGTTGGACTCGATGGCCCTTGTGGTCTCTTCCAACTCTATGATTCTATGAAGACCTTGTTTGAGTACCAGTGCAGACCACATTCACTGCTTTACACAGTAGTGAGCATTCCTGGACAGAATGGAAGACTCCAAAGACAATCTGCAATTGCATATTCTCTTACCTCGTGTTTGTGTGTGTGTGTGTGTGTATTCAGGCACACGTTCACACACAGGTTCTAATGTGCCAGGTAAATACTTCCTCTGTTGAAATGTGCATGTGATGTAGCTCCTTTTATGGCTGCAGATAATGCTATTAACTGCAGAAACATTCTGAAGAAATTTTCCAGCCCCTCCTAGCAAGATGTGATCCATATTTCTACACCCTCTTTCAGAGGGGAACAATTACTAGCCTTTTCTAGGCTTACCTATCGGTGAAGTGATTTGATACCTGATGGTGGCTTGCTCATAGGGAGTGATGCATGTTAAGTTCTGTGCCTTCTGCATTTGGCCCAACCTGTACTAGTAATTATTACAAAGCTTGAATGCTTGTTTCCCACACAAAGAGCTGCCCTGATGGCATGGCTAGCCCTGAAGAATGGGAAGAAAGTGCAAAGGAACTAGGTCAGAAAGAAAGTGCAACATTTATTTGCTTCTCCCACATTCCACCACGATCACATCACAGACCTCATCCTTCTATATGGGTAATTTGTGGAGGTAGGAAAGATCTTGAAAGGCTACAGTGGGCAGCAGCTGTTCCAAGTTCTCTGTAATAGGAATGAACAGATTGTTAATTAGTAATATGTCTACCATGGGCAAAGAACCATTGGTTTCACAAAAGCAGTTTGTGGCAAGGCAAGGTGGATAGTCGATCATTGAACCCTTTAGAGCCAGCAGCACCTACTGGTGAGCTTTCCCCACCTGCTTTAATCCACAAGTTCCTGCTGCCCTCCAAGAGCTTGGGAGTAAACGCCTCCCACAAGTGATCTGCTCTGCAGATACAAATCTATTCCCAAAGGATAGCGCCCCCCTGCACAGCCTTGATACACCTGCAAGGCACAAACTAAAAATCCTCTTACTTACTGGAAGGCCTCAAGCTCTGTTGAGGCAGGTACAGACAGGTTGCATGTAGGCCGAACCATCCACTGCGACTCTCACTTCATGCTCCCTTCCTTACTTAAGTCCTCTCCGCCCCCCCTCAAGTTGGCCTTTGTATCAGGGCTGCTTCTCATTCTGTACTTAGGTGCAGTTGAGTGTAGATGCCGGATTACATAGCATACCATGGTGGATCTGCGTGTGTTTAGTTACTTGTCTCTGCAAAATATATGAAAGAGTAGGGCCCATTCCTTTCCTGGTAGCTGCTTCTCTGTATATTTCCAAGTAACGCAGTGGTTTAAATGTCCATGTTGTGTTCAGGTCTGAAGAGAGGCACATGTACTGTATGTTGTACTTTAGTATCAGAGTACAAAACAGAGAGAGGCACGGCCTTTGGGCTCATTACTTCCTTCATTGTGCAGCCATCTGCCTTCGACTGTTCCCCCTTTCACCACCATTTCAGATATGCCCCTTTCCCCCCTGTTCCTCTTGTGTTAAACCTTGTCCCAAGTGAGCATGAGGGATTTGGGAGATGACTTTGCATCTCATGCACATCTGTGAAGCTCAGGAACTGGATTTTGGCACTAGGGTTGTCATGAGGATCATTCTGAAATAAACCATTACAGAAATGAATAAATGCCTTCCGTGCTGCTTTCTTTTCTCATTGGCTGCTGTGGGATTCTATCTCAAAACACACACACACACACACACACACACACACACATGTTGTGCTCTGCCTCCCCTACTGGCAGTTTTACCCATGTGACCGTCTTTTGCAAGACACGCCTGCGGGCCTCTTGCCTGTGCTTGGCACTCTCTTTTTATGGCACGAGGAAATATCTGCATGTGAACCAGGTGGCCATATTTGAGAGGAGATTATGTAAAAGTAATGCAGAGGCAAGAGACAGCACGCACCCTCTGAAGTTTCTCATTCCTTCCTTAAGGCCTGCACTGTCCTCAACTTTAGAATGGTTTTGCAGGCAGGGTGAACCTTATGTCTGTGGCAATGATACACAAAAATGCAGTGCATTGTTTCTTTTCCCCTTGGCAGGTTTCCCCATGTCCGTGACGTGTTGGCCGAGGCTCTGCGGCTGCTCCCCGCCCTTGGAGCCGCCAGTCGCTACCCTTTGGACTCCGTGATCCCTGACAAACGTCATGAGCATTGCAATCCCTCTGGGAGTCACCACACCAGATACATCTTATTCAGATATGGCTGCTGGATCTGAGTAAGTTCTGCCTTGCCTGCTAGCGTGTGAAGGGCATGGAATCAGGCCTCGGTGTTGAGACTTGAGCTGTCCTGCTGAGCCCGGGATAGCAGGGAGTAAGCTAGCTTTGCAACAGATAAACCAGAAAGCAGAGATGGTATCTGGTGCACACATTTGATCGCGACGGAACACCAAACAGAAGCACTTCCCCCTTTCCCCTCAAATTGCGTCCAAGAAGAGGCACTGTCTAGAATACTGCTTTCCCAGTGATCTTTAATTCACACCTGTTGTATCATACCTTGGTTGATAGGTATCTTGCAAGACATGAGCCCTGACGGTACTCTTCTTTTCCTCTCCTGTAGCCTAAGTTGCATGGTGCTGCTGATACAGATGGCTGTGTGATGTGGGTAAGGAGGATCTTTCAGGCATCGGGCCTCTTGCCTATCTCAAACTGTTAAGTAGATTTTTCACCCCTTTTAGTGTGGCTCTTTTCCCGAGGGAGGCTTGTAAGGTAGCTTGTGGGAAACTTCCTGCGCCAAAACCCAAATGAAGTGTCTACACTACAGGAAGGAAGATGCCTGGAGTTGAATTGATCGTTGAGCTTAGTCAGGCACGGAAAGAGGGTCATGCCTTGCTGGTGCTGTTCTGCGCTCCTGCACTTGTCTTCAGCAGTTTCTCCCAAGAATGGAGCACTGTGAAGGGCCAGACACACTGTTTGAACCACCTGCTTGACAGACTGTACTCAGGAGACACTGAAAGCTCTGTGTATCTGGCCTCTGTTTGGTGGGCTTTTGTGAGGCGCTAGCATTCATGAAACACTCCTTTTCCCTGCATCTTTTTGTGTATCTGGATACACGGTGTAGTATATCGTGTCTGGTTTTGTTTCATACCACGGACCTGATCAGGCTTTGTTGAGCACCTGTCCAGCTCAGCTTCAGTCATACCGCATCTGGAGTATTCTCAGCAAATAAGCTCGCTACAAAATAAATGTCCTTTACTTTGTTTCCTGTCTAACGTTAGATCTGTTCTGAATATACGTCTCACTTCATAGCTATTTCTGTCAGGTCTTCTTGTTTTGATGACAGTTTTTTGTGTTTTGTTTTACTGGGAATGTTTAGGATCACATTCCATGATACTGTCAGGTTGCAGTGGCCTTGCGTTCTGTCTTCTTATATATGGAGCCCTGAAAAGGCTGTAGCTGTTACCCGTCCTGTCCTTGCCCTCCTTGGGAGCGTGGAGGTAGAAGCAGCTATGTTAAGATTGATTCATAGCACAAGGTAAAGGGTCTGCCAGTCAACGTTTGCTCTGCTATCATGTGCCACCAAGCCTTCATGGCCAAAGAGTAGCCACAATTTGAAGGAGGGTCTCTGCTTGAGTTGTATTAATTTTCAAGAACAAACTCCAGGGACTTGGGATGCAAAAGTAGACCAGGATATGGAAATGGGCATGGAAAGGCTACTTTCGTTAGTAGGGTATCAAGAAAGGAACACATTGATTCAAGATTTAAGCTTCTATAGGTAGAGGAGTTGCTGGTTTAACCAGTCCCACTGTTTTGAAGATATCTGTAATTTAATTTAGCACGACAGAGCAGTAGTTAGGAATGAGGAGTTTGCGGTCATCTTGGAGAGACAGGAGTTCCAATAAGCAAGTACCGTGTGGCCACCCGTCCTCTTCCTGGCTGTAGCTTTTGAAAGTTGACTGCAGTTGCAGAAAGGACATTTCCTGAACCATGTTCCTAATGCGTGCTTGCAGCGGCAGCTCCTCCTCCTCTTAGTCCTCCCCCCTCCTTCCAAAGAGAGCAATTTCTCCTTCTGGCATCAAGGCTTTGGCTTCATCACCTACGCTTTTCCTGTTTCCTTTTCTATAACAAGGACTCCCACAGCCTTTCACTAATTGCCCATTTTGTACAGTACCATATTCTGAGTTGATTTTTTTTCTGCCACCTTGTGGTGGAAAACTGCAATTTTCGGTCAGTAATTAGTTGGGAATTCACCGCATCATCCTATAAGAAAGCAGGGTATCCTGAATATTTTAGTTTGTCCGGAGTTCCTTCCGATCCAGGTCATAGATATTCCTGTAGCTCTTGGCCTATTTTTGTCGAGTACTCTCAAGAGCTTCCATCACTAGAAAATTGTGTCTCGGCTCCTATCTGTATTGAGTAACTCATTGCATTTGAAGCAGCAGTATGTAGACGTTGTGGCCTGAAAGGTATTGCCCTTTAAAGTCTGAGGCTGTGGCGGGGTGATCTCAAATTGCATAGAGTTGAGTGGGGATCAGGAGGAGGAGCAAATCCACGAAGGGTTTAACGTGAAATGAACAGCTAGCAGAATAATCCAGCGAGCAGCATTGTCAGCAGCTTTTTCCTTCCTGTTGCCTCTTGCTGAAGCAGGGTTGCTCGTATTGCTTATCCGGGATGCCTCATTTTGAGGCAGCTGCCAGTCACTCGCCCTTCCCTAGCCCCTGCTTTATGCAGAATCCGGCCTTCATGGATTCCATACCTCACTTGCCCCTCAGAAAAGGTATGTCCATTCTCGGCCGGATATCTGTGTGGCATGAGAGAAACTGCTAAGACCTGGCTAATTTTTTTTCCAAAGAACCACTTCCTCTACTGATTGGTTCTGCTCTTGGCCCTTTCTGCAGCCCAGAGTCTGTGGAAGCTAGCCCAGCTGTTGGTGAGAAAAATGTGTATGCAAGTCATGGCTACGGGGCCTCCCAGAGGCACAGCTACCGAGGGCTGCCTTATGCAGTGAGTACCGTCTCTCTTATCTGCAGCCGACTCATCTATTTCACCCATCCCCTCTCCCTGGCTTGTGCATGATTGAGCTGTATATCTTCTTTGAGGACGGCAGCATTGTCAAGTGACACATGGGTACTGAATTTCTAGCCCCGCGTTTGTGTTTGTTTAGTGCTTGCAGACAACTTACTGCGAAAGGGAAGTATGGAACTAGAACAGCCTAGTAAACAAGCCCACAAAGTTACTGCATTTCCAGAAAATCAGCCGGCATGAGAACATAGGCTACCCGCCTCTTAGCAAGACAGTGTTAAAAGAAAGCCTTCTGCCGAGGGAGCTGGCAAGAGGAGGAGTGGTCTACCGCTCTTCCGCCGTGTGCTAGTCACAGAGGAAGGGCCGCCTTTCCACTGTGACCAGCACAGAAGGCAAACTGGCTGGTGGAGGAGGAGGAGGAGGACAGAGTGATGGGCCTGTTTGTTCACCTGCATTGAATACCTGGCCTCCTTTGCCTGCCGAGTGAGTTGTTAAATGCAAGCTTGGACTAGAAGGTGGGGGGGGCATCTCTTTTTCCCTTTTTGGTCTTTAGCACTGACTGCTCATAGAAACTACTACCTAGGGTAGACCTACCCATTGCAGGTAGATTTTTCTAATGACGTTCCCCTTGCTCCTCCCCCAAAAGTGTATTGATAAGCCCCAGTATTTTGAAAGTTGAAAGCATAGGTTTCAGAATCAAGCCAGTTTGAAAGACAGCTTGCAGCTTTTCTGTGCTTAACAGTGCAGAATGCTTGCATACACATGCAGGTCTCTGCCTTAAGAAAAGCAAGAGGGACCTGCAAGGAAATGTTATGGTGTGGAGTGTGCTGGCTCAGGTTTTCAGCTATCCCATTCCATCGTTTTTCATTCTCCATCACCGCCACCCTGTCTACACCTGTCAGCCAGCCAGTATTTCGTGCCCATTGAGAATGCTCAGTCCTCACTGGATGGTTTGGGGGCATTTCCTCCATTTTGGGGGTTTGAGGAGGTGGAGTGGGTATACTTAATGCTGAACCCGAAACGCATTAAATTATTGTATTTCTCTGTCAATATCTGTGAGCAGCTCTCATTCCAAACTTGGGGACAGTTTAAAATAACTTCTTTGAACCAGAAAATGACGTATCCAGACATTGAGATGCTTATTTCTACCCTATACATATGCATACATGTTTCTCTGTCTTCTGGTTCCAGACACTCCATTCTCCCCCTGCATCCCACCCGGTTGCCATTTTCACTCCTTAGTCTCCACATTTTGTGCCTTGAAGAGATAGCATAGAGCTGTTTGAGGCGTTTTCACTGCAGATTTTTTTTGGTACTTGTTGCAGGTCCCTGATTTCCTCTGAGACTGCTGGCACTTCTTTCTTGTGTGTGGGTAGTGTGGTTTTGTTTCCATTAGCACAAGCATAGGTAGTTCAAATCAGTGTTAGTATATTTTGCTAAGACAACTGGATATCAGGGCTTTCTTTATCTGTGGTTGGACTGAGAAAACAATTGCTCCACCCAGTTCTAGCGAGAGTCCAAAGTTGTAGGTCCTTGCTCTGTTAGCCAGAGTTCCTGTCGCTCCTCAAATCTGTGCATGTGGTGGTGGGTAGGTTTTGGTAGTGTGTTAGGGCTCACATGTTGTGTAAAGTCATGCCTCTTGCTCTCCTCCCCCCGCATTCAAAATAGAACTGATGCAAATGTTTGTTTTCAGGATCATAATTACGGAGCCCCTCCTCCTCCGACCCCTCCTGCTTCTCCCCCTGTCCAGACCATCATCCCTCGTGCAGAACTGAATGGCCTACACTCTCACGATGAGGAGAATTCTGGGGACACAGAGAGTTCTTCAGAAGCAGAGTCTATTCCTAGCTGGTGTCACTGTAGTCTCTCCCAAGATGGTTTCCTCATCAAATGTGAGAAGTGCAGGTAAGTTCTTGCCTGTAGGCAGCTTCATACATGGGGAAACGAGGGGTGGGGTGGGGAGAATGTTTCAAGAGGCTTCCTGATTGCTCAGTGGACCATTTTCTTTGCCTTCAATTGGTCCAGCCTTCGCTGCAGCAAAGGAGCTGACCTACACAAAATCAACACGCACATTTTCACAACGCAGGAGCCAAATCCTGCAAGTTCATCAGATCAAATAAATAGTACCAATGACAGATTGTCTAAAAGTGATTTGTTTGAGCTGACCAAATGCAGTTGGTTAAATAATCATACCTTATGCTCAGTGGAGTGTGTCTGAAACTCTCCATGAATTTAGGTGCTTCTAATGCAATGGTGAAAGAGTAATAGCGAAGGAGAGGTGGCACTTCTTCAGAGATTGGCAAGCAGCAGAAGGGGGCTTGGGGGTCATAAGGAACATGAGATCTGATGTCTTTCCACTTTCCTGTCCTTCCAGGCCATCACTGGTCCAGGGCATTTCAGTGGCTCTGCTTTCACACACTGTAGGCTTATTTCCACACTTACGAGGGCTAAGAATGTAGTCTTTCTGAAACTTGAAAGATGGGGCTCTTGAGAACATGAATATTGCACTGGGCACACAGCCCATTATTTGCTGGAGCGATGGCCTTGGACGTGAATGCGTGAAGCTGAGACGTGGCCATTAAATTCATTTTAACTTTATATAACACTTTAACGTCAGGTGATCTAGTGTTCCACTGAAGACCTGAGGTTAATTTATTTTAAGCAATATAACTTTTAATAATGCCAACTTTGGGTTTCTGTTGCCCTTTTGCAGGGGGCTTAGCCGAGGGAAAGTGATCAGACTTCGTCGGAGGAAGCAAGACAACGTGTCAGGTGAGTTAGTGCCCCCAGGCTTGCGGGATTTGAATGAGCGGGTGTCCTGATGCAGCGAGAGTGCTCTGTGTCTCATTGCCTCTCTTTGTCATTTTTCCCAGTTTACCTGAGATCTCAGAGTATAGGGTAGGTACATTGGAAGAGCTGAAGGGGGCAAGCACAAAGCAAGTTGCCACTGTGAGTGGAAGATGATGGTTCCTTGCAGCCTTTTTGGGGAGAAGAGTGCAATGTTAACTCACCGGGGTGGGACAGTTTTCAGAACAAAGGGGAAGTTGCCAACAAGACCTTTTTCACGGCAGGCGGGGACAGCAGTGCAACTGAGAGCTGGGACGAGGAGCTCTCTCCCTCCACAGTGTTGTACACTGCTACACAACACACCCCTACGAGCATCACTCTGACCGTCAATCGGGTCTGCAGAACCAAACCCAAAAAGAGGAAAAGAAATACAGAGAGAACTCGTACGGCACCAAAAGCCAAAAAAATCAAGGTATGTCCATAGATACGGTTGTCGGCGACTCCAGCCAGTTACTAAGTAAGCGTTTGGGAGGATGTCTGGTCGTTTTCCTCTAATCTCCTCCTTATTGGTATGCAGCCTTCCATATCCTGATGATGATCTCCTTCTGGTTTTTTTGGGGGGGGTAGTGGGGGGACAGATGCTGTGGACAAAACGAACAGTGACAATGTGTTCCACCGATGCCTGAAGTGGAATTGTGTCACCATGCCCACAGCTCAGGCAGGGCTGCAACTGTGGGGGAAGGGAGGGCTTTTCTGATCGCTTAAGCAGTCGTTTGAACAACAACAACAAAACCACACCAACAACCCCAAAGGACTCTACATACAACTTGCTTACAGAGATACAAACCTAATATTATTGAATTAGTAAGAACTAAACTGACTTCTGACTTCCAGCATTCTAGCCAATCAGCATCAAGTAAAAAAATGAATACTAAGCATCTGCCACTAAATAACAACAACAACAACAATAGTATTTTAATCATACAACATCAAGAAATGACTTGCATTTAATTTTTTACATTTCAAATTGACACCCCACCCTCCCAATGCATAAACGATCTTTGGTTCCTTTACCACACAATGTTCAGACTTTGGATATAGAGACCCATGGGTGGAAAACGGGGGGTTTGGATGCAGCAAAATATAGCTGATATATATTGTGCATATACAGAGGACTTCTTCCTACAGAGCAAATTTGTTTATAAAAGTTACTTTTTGGTTAATATTCTACACATTTTACATTATTCTTTGCTGCATAAGCTAACAAAAATAATGTATATTAAAGTAATTCTTAAGCAGCAACTCTCTTCTTACTTAGAAGGGACTCTTGATACTTGGAAGGGTTTTTATTTGGGAACTTCATTTTGCTGTTTGATACCCACAGAAAGATTTTAGGGTGGCATAACTGTGTATACTCTGCTGTGGTTCCTTTGCTCTTCTTTCAGAACCTGTTCTTTGCTTTGTGGAAGTGCTACTTGGCCAAAGCTGCGACAATCCGTGCTTGTCGTCTAGGGAGGTTCTGGAAAAGGCAGCCAACCCTTTAGGGAGTCTACCATTGAAAGTACACTGGGATCAGTTTTTCTTCTAGTCCTTGTTGCAGTTTTGCATCTGTGCCCCTTATTTAGCACGAATGAGCACAGATATATAGGGCAAAAATACTGATGGTCATTTGTCTTACTCTTTCAACAGGCTTTTAGAGAAGGTTCACGGAAGTCTTTGCGGATGAAGGTGAGTTAAGCCACATACCTGATCCCAGAATATAGTTTCATGCCTGTAACGCAATTAATGACTCCTGATTTTGTTCTCAAGGACTACTGAGCCCAGCTTACTGGTCATCAGCATGCATGAAACTGCATGGTTATCCTTTGACCTGGTCCAAGATGGTTGTGGCATTATTGTTGAGACAGGTGCACATTTAAAGGACTTTGGTGTGCATGGCAGGGATGTTGAAGAGCAGAGATGTTGAAGGGCTCATTAGTTTTCTAAGCGATGTGGTTGGAATGGCCTCAAGTACTGTTGTGCTGGTTACCTGAGGCTACTTGAGTAGAGACCAGGATGGGGAGAACTTTGAAAATGCCACCAACCAGCTGGCTGAGGACAAGAGTCACATAGAGTTAGATGGTTATTTTCCTAGTTATAGGCTGCTCTGTCACCACAAGCAGCCCTGGTGCTTTTCACAGAACTGACTCTCTTTTGGTACAGAACTCTCCTTCAGAAGCCCATGCCCTGGATGAGAATACGGCAGAGGGGTGGGAAAACCGCATAAGGCTCTGGACCGATCAGTATGAAGAAGCCTTCACTAACCAATACAGCGCGGATGTACAGAACCTCCTGGAGCACCATCTAAATGCCAATAAAGAGTTTGTGGGCAAGGCGGCTGTGCTGGACACAATCAATAAGACAGAGCTGTTCTGTAACAACACTGTCATTGGCTCTCAGATGCAGGTAAACAAGTAGACCCCAAAGTGGCGGTAGGCCAGTTGGCTGCATGCTAGGGTGGTGGGTTATTGATAAGGCCCAGGTTTGAAAGATGCTCTTTTGCCTCTAGATGCAAGCAAGCTTATACATAGGGGAGAGCAGATAAGGTGAAGCTCGGGGAGGTATGAAACGACAGTCCTTCTCTCCCCGTCCTCCTTTCCTGGCTCATTAGATAAGATTCTTTTCAGGTATAAAATATTCCTGGTCTGGCCAGCAATGCTACCTTGAGCATGTCTGCTACTTCAGGTCATGCATTCTGGTAGACCATTAAATATGGCCAGTGATCTCAGACCCTGGTTGCTCAGCTGCTTTTAACAAATGCAGCCATACACAAGGACCTTCCCCCTGCCGTGTGGGTCCTAAAATCTCTCTTTTAACTTGGCAGCTGCAGCTAGGGAGAGTGACGCGGGTTCAGAAGCACCGGAAGATCCTGAGGGCGGCCAGAGATCTGGCTGTGGACACTCTTATAATTGAGTATCGTGGGAAAGTGATGCTGCGGCAACAGTTCGAGGTCAATGGGCACTTCTTCAAAAAGTAAGAATGCTGAGCGGTCTGAAAAGTGGAACCGTTTTGGGGGCTGGTGTGGGTGGGAGGTTCCCCACAATTGATTGGTTTTAGAAATGAATATGCGTTATGCGGTGGTGCGTCCAGCGCTCCACGGATGCCTTGTAGGCTTGGCTGTGTTTGCCATTAAGGTTACAAGTGCTGTTCTTCCTTCCTTAGGCCGTATCCCTTTGTGCTGTTCTACTCCAAGTTTAACAGTGTTGAGATGTGTGTGGATGCTCGGACTTTTGGTAATGACGCTAGATTCATCAGGCGCTCCTGTACACCAAATGCAGAGGTAAGTGGTTGCTGTGGTGTTTGGCATTTTGATAGGTGTGAAAATTTGGCTTGTATTGGTTGAGTTTGTGGTCGGCCACGACTTCAAACAAAGATCGCCCCACCAGCCCAAAAGTGCTGGATCCTCAGATCCTTTATACAATATTGATCCTGCAGAATATTTTACCAGTAGCCCCGGAAGGACAAACACTTGGACATTGTGGTCTTCAGCAGGTGGAATTATGGTCTATCTGTCCTGCATTCTCCATCAAGTATCCCAGTCCTCGACAGAATTCAGAATTCCCTACCTAGCAAAGCAAATCCTTCCAGTCTCAAATGTATACATCACGTTTCACAACTTGGTTGTTCTAAACTAACAGTTGCTTAAAGAGACTGGCTTTGCTGCTACTTCATTGAAACTCAGCTTTTGCAATGTGGCACATGCTTAATTTTTGGGATTGTAACGTTTCTGTTTGTGTGTTGAAGGTTCGCCATGTGATAGCAGGTGGGATGATTCACCTGTGCATATATGCTGTTACGTCCATTGCCAAGGATGCAGAGGTCACCATTGCCTTTGACTATGAGTACAATAACTGGTGAGCGTTCTTGTTACTCGCTTATTGGAGACTTGCCCTTCTTCCCTCAGTACTGACCTTTTCATTTGTGCCCCTGCTTTTTGTTTTTTGTTGTCAAATTACATTCTCAGCCTCTCGGGTGGTAAAGGTCATAAATGGGAGCAGTTCCCCCATCTCTTTCCTAGACATTTAGCTCAAAGGTATACTTACATATTGTTTCTCAAGACATTGTGAAGCGATACTAATATATTCTGTGTCTTTTGTGATGGGGCAGCAACTATAAAGTGGATTGTGCCTGTCACAAGGGAAACCGGAGTTGCCCTGTGCAGAAACGGAGCCCAAACACTGTAGAACAGCTGCCTCCACCTGCTCTAGACACTCTGATTGGAGCAGAGACCAGGCGTCGGAAAGCTCGTCGGAAGGAGCTGGAGCAGCGGGAAGCTGCATCGGATGAGAACAGCAATCCGCAGCCAGAGGAAGTCCCTGAGGGACTTGCTGCAGCCAGTGATAATGAGGTAAAGTCTCCACCATCCTATAGCATTGAGTGTTGGTCACTAACTCTGGAGGAACTTGTTCCCAGAGGGAGTGACTTCCCTGGGCACAGGAGCAGCCCCAGTGAAATGCTGGACGTTCACGGTAATTGTCCCATATCTTTTTGGCAGCTGTGACTGCTGCTGATGTCCATTCTCTCACATTTCAGGTTGCAGACAAAGAAGAGAAGCAAGAAGAGGAGAAAGAAGCCACTGCGGATGAGCAGGGAGGTCTCACTCAGAACAGACGGGCAAGTATCTTTTCCTCTCTCTTTTTTTGTAATGGGTACAGTCCCCCCCATAGGTAGTGAGTTTTTATCCTGCCCAGGTGCCATGTTGGCTATGGATTCTGATTATGCGGTTTAAAATAGTGGTTTTCAAAGTGTCTGTGTTCAGGGAATCTTTTCCATGTTGGCTTGTCTGCAGCAGAACCTTGCACACTGTAAAAGTTTCTGGGATATAGTGTCCTGTTCAAGCAGGAAACTGGCCAGATCTGTTGGGCCTCACCAGTTCCCTGTTTGAAATAAGTCTATGCCTGTGGCTTTCATTTGTAGGGAAGATTGTCCACTACAGTGTCTGTCTGCTTACTAAGGAGAGCTTTGTTAAGCTTCTGAGAAACAACAGGATGCCCTGCAAAACAAAGATGCAAAAGCAAGATTACTTGTGGAAGGGAGTCAGAGTCAGGGGCTCAGCAGGCTTGAATTAGGAACCTGTTAAGAAATCTTAATAACCATCTAGGCCTCCCTATGGCAGTGTTAGAAACAGATATAAAAGGTAGGAGCCATATGGCACCTTAGGCTTCAGTTGCCACTACGGAATGCCTCAGCGCCCTGCAGATCAGCTGATCTATGCAGCAGCATAACACCAGAAGATGTGCCTCTTTTGGTGCTGTGCTGCTCTGCGAATCAGCTGCTCTGCGGGGCAGCGCAGCACCAAAAGAGGCATTTCTTTTGCTGCCGTGCTGCCCCACCAGCCAGCTGACTGGCCCAGCATGGCAGCAGTGCCAGCCAGCCAGATGGAGATGTTATTCAGCAAACCTGGCGACCAGGTATCTCCACTTCCTCACAAAAGCCTGGTTGCCTATTGTGAAATGTGGCTGGCGCTCTGATATTTTCAAGCACTACCCCATGGCTTAGGGATGCGGGTGGCGCTGAGGGTAAAACCTCAGCGCCTAGGACTTGCCGATCACATGGTCGGCGGTTCAAATCCCCGCGGTGGGGTGCGCTCCCGTCGTTCGGTCCCAGCGCCTGCCCACCTAGCAGTTCGAAAGCACCCCCGGGTGCAAGTAGATAAATAGGGACCGCTTACTGGCGGGAAGGTAAACGGCGTTTCCGTGTGCTGCACTGGCTCGCCAGATGCAGCTTGTCACGCTGGCCACGTGACCCGGAAGTGTCTGCGGACAGCGCTGGCCCCCGGCCTCTTGAGTGAGATGAGCGCACAACCCTAGAGTCTGTCAAGACTGGCCCGTATGGGCAGGGGTACCTTTACCTTTTACCTTTACCCCATGGCTGTTGAAAGTGAAGTAAAATGGCAGCAGCTCAGATAACAGCAGTTACTTTTCATCCTTGAACCTAAGAATAGACAGACAAGAAAAGAAGAGAGGTTAGTCAACATGAGGAAGCTTCAAAGGAAGCCTACAGGCATAGGAAATGGAAGGTAAATGACAATAGTCCCCCCCCCCCCTGAATCTTAGCACTGCCTATCCGTGCCAAAGAAAAAAATATAACTTGGTCCAGTTAGCCTTACCAGTGTATGTATATGAGGGATAGGATTGAATAGGGTGGGAAGTGAGGAAAAGCTGGCATTTTCCCTAGCAGCAACACTAGCTTGTTGCTTGTATCACTGTTTTGAATCCCCTGGAGCGTATATTGTCTGAACAGCCATCTTTTTATGTTATTCTAATGGCTACTGCTACTGCTTCTTTCTTATTTCCTGCTAAAACCGATATGAGCGGCACACACTTTCATCGGTTGGGCTTCTGTAGCCTTGGAAACAAGGTGCTTTCTTGTCACGGCCTTTAAAAACAAAACAGTGTCCTTTAAACGGTTATACAGAGAAGTGGAATATTCATTATCAATTAAAAAACAGCAACAACCAAACTTTCATTCAAAAGGTATAATCCAGAGCACAGAATATCCTGAGAGGAAGGTACAGTTGAGGAAGTCCTAAAGTTGGGGGGGGTGGTTTAGGAAGAAGCAAGTGAGAGATGACTTAGCAAGCAGTTTAATGACTTAAGTATAAATGGGGGGGGAGGGGTAACACGCATTTTAATCCTAGGCACCTAATATTTTCACATGACCATGCTGTTCTGAATTGCAATTGCATTGAGATCAGTGTATGCTGAGTTGACAGAACTAGCATCCCATGTTCAGAGCTCAGGCAAGTTGATCCACAAGGAATGGAAAGCGGGACATTATTGGGATGTCTACTGGTTTGCCACTGTTGATCCTATTGTGTTCCCCCTTCTTCCCTTCTTGCCTGGTCTGCTGTTTTTTTTTTACCCATTTGTACCTGTTCTGCTAACTTTGATTTGTTCTTCGGTTGGGCTAGACCCGAGAAGATCGGAAGGTAGAAGCCATCATGCACGTGTTTGAGAACCTGGAAAAAAGAAAGAGGAGGCGAGATCTCCCATCGGACCGGAGCAGCACAGACGCAGAAGTGGTGGTCACGGCAGAGACTCCAGAACCGGAGGAAGTAAAAGCTGAGCCAAATGAAACTGAGGATAGCAGTGTGGCTTCAAGTGTTTCTGTGCCAAGTGCCCCTTCCAGTGCCAGCAGCGTTGGAGTGAACACACGGAGGTCTTCACAGGCCGGGGTAAGAAGAAGGGTAGAACTGCCAAGGGTTTGGCCCCAGTAACTTTGGGAATTACAGTGGAATTGCTGTATGCGACTCCATGTTCAGAAAGGATATCCTTCCAGCTACCAGATGCTGGAGGTGTAATTCAACCTTCCTGTTATATTAAAACGTCCACTGGAATGTAATTTTATATAATTAGACCATTGGCTTGATCCAACATGACAATTGGTTGTGAGCCCCTGACTGGTAGCATTTCCAGTGTTACCAGACATGTGCTGGATTTGAAAGAAGTCACGTTTCATTGGGCGTGCTGAGAGCACAAGGGAAGGTGGGGGCCATATTTTGGCATGGACTTGCTGTCTACAAATCAGCACAGTTATTTCACAGACCATGTTGTACTGGCACCCTTGGACACTTCTTATTGGACTCAAAATATGCCAGCTGGCACCTGTTTGGCAAATGCTTCAAGGGGTGAAAACAGTATTCTAGAGGGAGCATTGCATTAAGATGCAAGTAAAACTCCCCCACCCCCCCAAAGAATACTAGCGTCCCAGATTCTCCCTTGACTCTCCCTTTACACTCCAGGAATTAAACCTTTACAAATATATTTCGCCGGGCTGCTCCTGTTTGAGAGCAAATGTGTAGAGGCGCAGGTTCTCAATAATTCCATACCTTACACTGGGCTTTGCTCTGCAGGAAACGGCAGCCGAGAAACCAGTCTCTAAAACAGCACCGTCAAAACCAGCACGGCCGCGACCCAAAAGCCGGTTTTCCCGTTATCGGAGTAGTTCCGCACAACGGCTGAGAAGGCAAAAGCAAGCCAGCTCCCAGCAGGCTGAGCTCTCTCAAGCAGCTCCAGAGGAGGGAAACGCCGTGAGCACAGTAATGGCGGCGGAAGTCAGCAGCGTGGAGGGTCCTGGAGAAGGGAAGCAGTTGATTGGTTCTGATCCAGCTGTGGCTGCAGTTGCAGGAACACAGGCCAGCCGGGCTGCACTCAAGTATCCCAAAACGAAAAAGGTAAATCAACTGAGGGATGGGCAGGATGTATCTTAAAGGTAAAGGTACCCCGACCATTAGCTCCAGTCGCGGATGATTCTGGGGTTGCGGTGCTCATCTCGCTCTATAGGCCGAGGGAGCCGGCGTTTGTCTGCAGACAGCTTCTGGGTCATGTGGCCAGCATGACTAAGCCGCTTCTGGCGAACCAGAGCAGCGCACGAAAACACCGTTTACTTTCCCGCCAGAGCGGTACCTATTTATCTACTTGTACTTGACGTGCTTTCGAACTGCTAGGTGGGCAGGAGCAGGGACCGAGCAACGGGAGCTCACCCTGTTGCGGGGATTCAAACTGCCAACCTGATCGGCAAGCCCTAGGCCCTGTGGTTTAGACAAACATAAGCATATTGCAGGATGTATCTTAGGACCCTGCAATATGCTTATGTTTGGGTAACAAACACAGTGTGTGGCAGGTTTATAAATTACAACAGGAGCTGTACAGAGACTTCAGTGGTGCTATCTGAGTCAAGAAGACAAGATTTGACAATCCTGATTTTCCAAAGCCGCCTCCACTGGTTTCCCAACCCTATCAACATTCTATATACAAGGCCACTTGTATATATCTTATGCACCAGATTTAAGAGTGCATTTGAGGGTTTTCATGGGGGGGGGTATTGTTGTTGGTCCATAACCCAATGGTAGGGCATATACTCTGCCTCAGGTTTCATCTCTGCTACTTCCAACTTTAATAAAGAGATGTTTGGTAGCAGGGCTGGGGAGGTTCCCTGCTTGAAACCATGGACAACCAGGGCCCAGGCAGAGTAGACAGTTCTGGGCCCACCTATTCCCACCTCTCCCTATTGACTCTTTATTTTGTCTTATCTTTACAAGTTCCTTGCATAGTAAGACATATTTCTGTTATTTCTGCTTTCAGTATCTAGTTACAGAATGGCTGAATGACAAGGCAGAGAAACAGGAGTGCCCCATTGAGTGCCCTTTACGTATCACCACTGACCCAACCGTGCTGGCCACCACCCTCAATATGTTGCCAGGCCTTGTCCACTCCCCCCTCATTTGCACCACGCCCAAACACTACATCCGTTTTGGTTCTCCCTTCACCCCAGAAAGGCGAAGGCGGCCGGTTCAGCTGGATGGGAACTACAGCTCATGCAAAAAGGTATGTCTGCTTTTGGTTGTGGTCCGTGCACTTGGCCCAATATTTCTTTAAAAAAAAAAAGAAAAGAAATTTGAATGTCTAATGAACATGCATGACTTTCCTTAAAGCACCCCAAAATATGCTTGCCCAGGTTTGGTTTACTGAAACTCTTCCTGGAAAAGAAACATACAACTAAAATTGTTTTAACTGGTTCTCGTATTTTCAGTGGATGTAGGGAACAGTTTCTCCCTGCTTACAACACTGCCTCATGACACTTTAAAAATTACAGAAAAGGCATGGTCTTCTTCCATAGGCTCACTAGCTGTTCCTAGATGTGAATAGATTATGCACCGCATGCATTGTTAGAAAGACTAAGACTGTGGTGTGCTTGAACTCCTCTACAGTGGTACCTCAGGTTAAGAACTTAATTCGTTCTGGAGGTCCGTTCTTAACCTAAAATTGTTTCTTAACCCGAGGTACCAATTTAGCTAATGGGGCCTCACGCCACCACCACACAATTTCTGTTCTCATCCTGAAGCAAAGTTCTTAACCCGAGGTACTATTTCTGGGTTAGCAGAGTCTGTAACCTGAAGCGTCTGTAACCCGAGGTACCACTGTATTTAAATACAGGCTCTTGCAGGATTTCTTAAAACGCTTTATTGTATGGGTTTAAAAAACTGCAGTAGCTGAAACATCTAAGTAGTAATTGATGCACCTTGCCTACTGGGACTAAGATTCTAAATTAGGTGCACTGTACACATCTTGAATTTTGTGGTTGCCAAGATATTGCTGATTGAGATCTCTTGAATAGAGATAACCTGTGATGATTCTCGGTTAGGTGAGCAGAAAGGAAAATGCGTTTCACACCTGTTTTCTCTCTGCACCGCAAGCTGTAGCTAGATTAGGGAGACTAGGAAAGTCAAGAGTATCTGTTTCAAGAAGGGCTTTTGCATAGCCCAGGACTGGGTGTGAGACATTCACCATGATGCACACATTGTGATGCCAGCTCTAGATTTTCCGTAGACCTTGGCAAAGTCAAGCTTTCATTTTAATCTTTTGCTTTATTTTTCTAGGCTACTAGTTACGTTGTGTGTCTAATGCTTTCTTTAAATGTATTTTTTGCCTTGAGAGGCAATACCTACTCAAGAGTCTGCCTAAAGCAGCTTGTTTTTCATGCCTTACAAAGGCAGGATTAATAGCTGGGTTTCCAGAGGGCTCTAAGCTGCAAAGGAATGGCCCATGGACACAGGAATGCCCTGTATGCAGTTTCCTGGGCCTCACGAGTTACCTGGTATAAAACAACAAAACAATCCCCCACCCACAAAATTGTGTCAACATAACCCCTCAGGCAGATAAGCAGATTGGGAGTCTATTCTGGCTTAGGCTGCTTAAATAATGAAAGTAGTTCTCATAATACATGACAGCTTTTTAATAAAGCTAATATTTGGGTATCTTGCTTGTATTTTGGCAAGTTGCCTGTCAAGGGCAAGGTGGAAGAAAGGGGATAGCCAGCAACAGGACTATGAGGAAGTGGCTTCTGTCTACTTGAGTCTTGAGTGAGCTAATGCATTTTCACAACTATCTTGAACACCCACAAGGGCTTTGAAACTTGTTTTCCAACAAAATTGTGGGATGGTCTATGTGCACATTTGCATGGTGAGTCTAGAGCAGCATAGGATGGCCATACTACTGGTCGTCTCTATTTCTTTGCCTGCTTTTGTTGAATGTATATTCTATGCTGCAACCAGGCCAGAAATGGGCTCCCAGCATTTCCTTTTAGACTGGTAAGCATATCTCTGCCATATCTTGCTCTGACACAGCGGGATAAGCCGTATTTAGAATGTACCTTCTGCTAATTGGGTCCTGAATCTGGTTCATTTCTCCATGTGAATGTCCTGGCCAGCTAACCCCAGTGTGCTTTTGGGCAAAAGCAAAGAATTCAAGTTTGCTTTCCTAATTTCAGTTTAGAGCATTAATAACACAATCCTGTGTGCTTAATTAGAATCGGTAATTTCCAGATCTGGTTTTACCGTGTGCACGTTCAACATATGAGAGTCTTGGACTAGGTAGGAGTGGCAAGCTGTTGTTTTTACGTTTCCATATGCTAAAATAATGGTACCTCCCTAGTAAAAAAAAAAAAAGCAAAGCAAAAAAGCCGGATGCTGGCGTTCAAATCTTTTCATATAAAGATACTGTTCTAGTTCTCACGGCTTGTGGAGATGCATTTGAAAATGGGCTATAATAGGTGAATGGCTCAGAGTTCAAGGGGATGAAACTTTTGGCCCGCACTGGCTCCCTCTCTCTCCTTTAAGGCTCCTAGCTAAGTTTCCCTAGACACAAGCCCCTGCTGCCCTCCCTGCCTTATGCCATTTCCTTCTCCTACTGCACCATCATTTGCCAGTTAAAAATATGGGCGCAGCCTAAAACATGTATATTGAGTGACCTCATGGAAAATAAAGACTACAGTGGTGCCTCGCAAGACGAAATTAATCCGTTCCTCGAGTCTCTTCGTCTTGCGGTTTTTTCGTCTTGCAAAGCACGGCTATTAGCGGCTTAGTGGCTATTAACGGCTTAGCGGCTTTAAGAAAAAGGAAACAAACTCGCAAGAACTCGCAAGACGTTTTGTCTTGCGGAACGACTCAAAAAACGGAAAACCCTTTCGTCTAGCGAGTTTTTCGTCTTGCGAGGCATTCGTCTTGCGGGGCACCACTGTATTTGCATAGAGGCATCACTTATTTTCAGTAAAAACAACTTTGAGCTGGGGTACAGGTTGTAAACGGCCCCACCCATAAAGCGATTGAGGTGAAAACAGATCCTCCCCATCCCCTGGGGCAATTGACCGATAACAGATGGAAATTGCTGAAAGTGGTCTGTTGCAAGTCGGGGGGCGGGGGGGGGAGAAACACTTTAAATGGGAGCCTGTGCATTATTAAGCAAGGTTTGTTTTTGCAGCGTTGGATCAAGCAGGCTCTGGAAGAAGGGATGACTCAGACCTCAGCTGCTTCCCAAGAGAACAGAACTCAGTGTCTATACCAAAGCAACGAGAGCGGTAGCACTTCTGGCATCTGCAAGGAAAGCGCAGGTTGGTTGAGAGGCCTCCATGTTTCAGTGGTGCACCGTGGACGTCGTTTCAGTTTTCCACTCCTTGAAGGGCCAGTTAGAAAGCGAGCAAGCATAATTGCAGTCAATAACTCTACATAACTCTGGCCTCCGTGTACTAACCAGTTTATTTATTCGTTTGTTTACTGCATTTGTATCTCACCTCGTTCTCCAAGGAACTCGAGGTGGAGTGCATAGTTATTCCCCTCCTCATTTAGTCTTCAGAACAACCCCGTGAGGTAGGTTAGAAGCAGTGACTGGTTCAAGGTCACTCAGTGAGCTAGTGAGCAATAATAGGTACAGTGCACATAGAGTTGCGTAGTGTTTTGCTACCTGTTGATACAGGCAGCCTCTTCTTCTTCTTCTTCTTCTTCTTCTTCTTCTTCTTCTTCTTCTTCTTCTTCATTCCTTCTTGTTATTTCCCAACAACTCAGGAGCTACAGTCTTTGGCCCAGGGTTTGTGATGGATTAGAGCTCAGAAATGCCACTCTCCTCATTGTATAACATCCTGTCCTTCACAACTCCTCAGGTTGCTACGGTGGTTAGAGCTTGGTGCTAACACCAAGGTTGTGGGCTCGAACCCCATATGGGCCACCTCCATATTCCTGCATTGCGGGGGGGTTGGACTGTGAACCTGGGGGTCCCTTCCAGTTCTACAATTCTGTGACTATGGCACAGGCCTGTTGCCATTCTGCAGATGTCAATCCACCTGTTAGCCTGCTCTTGAGGGAAAACAAACAGAAAAACCGTACAAGCTGCATGAATGGTGTTTCTTTTGCCGGGTGACTACTCATTCTGACATTTCCCTTGCGGAGGGGGGCAAGGAGGAGTGTAAGAAGGGGATCCTCCTTTTCCAAGATCAAGAGAACCCATTCCCCTTTGGGCTTCATCTAGAAACAGAGACCTTATTCCCAGGGAGGAAGTGCACTGCACCAAACCCAGTGCTACCACCTTCCTCCACTTGCTGGGAAAATAACTGGTTAAAAGAGCAGGCGCCTGGTTGCAGAACAGCCACTCTCCAGCACCGGAGCATACATCTGTGAGCAAAGCAAAAAGACGAGTTTTAAAAACAGTAACTTTGCATCTGTCTTTGCAGAGGAAGAGGGTGGCGATCTATCCAAGTCAGGGATCAGTTTTCCAAGGACGCGAGACGAGGCCCTAGGCAGTGTACAGATAACTGTTTGTTACACAAAGGTTAGAGGCATCGAAAGCAGAAAAAGCACTAGTTCTGGGCAAATTGCAATTTTGAGCGAGAGGTGGGTGGGGGGAGCAGAAAAGGCTCTCTGGTGATCTTTCTAAGAGGCTTCTATGGGTTGGATTCTTTGAGTTAAAAGTTGTCCAGTGGCATTTCTTAGGACCACGAAATCATTTGGCTTTTGAGGGGTTTCTTGCAAGTCAGATTAAGTTCTGTCACAGGACGTAAAGAAGTGCTGGGAAGGGCAGGCCTATGCAACTCCCTTGTTAATAGAGTGGCGGGAGAGGAGAGAGGTGCTGTCGTGGCTTGAGAAGGAAGGGAAATTGGGGGGAGGACTGTGTACAAGATTCTTATGCAAGGGACAGCTCACATATGCAAGTCAGCATCTTGGGGGAACAACTCAAGAGTGCTTGCAGCAGCTACTGAAATCAATAGTTGTGGGGTTGGGGATCTAACCTACCAGCAAAAACTTGGCAAATGACCTCCCACTATCCACTTACAACTATGCTGGGGCTGCTGTTAGGCAAAGGTTTGCATTGTGTGTTGAAGGGTAGAGCGTAATCTTATCAGTAGATGGATGGAAACACTGGAGCAGCCCTAGTTCCCTTGGAATAGTTGACTCTCACTGGTTAGAAGGCAACTGTGGTTTTTTGGCCAACAGGATTGATGTCTGTCGATGGAATATGGGCTAATAGAGGTTCTCTTTGGGATGCAGGTGGGCAGCTTGCAGCTCTGAGCCAGATTCCATTTGGCCTGATTCCTTTTGTGTGGTAAGGAAGGAAAGAGGAGAAGGTATTGGAGAGCAGAGTGGACACCTTGACCTCTGACCCCACTCTTACTTTTGGCTCAGGCTCCAGCCATCACCAATACAGTGGCACTTGGGGTTAAGAACTTAATTTGTTCTGGAGGTCCATTCTTAACCTGAAACTGTTCTTAATGTGAGGTACCACACTAGCTAATGGGGCCTCCTGCTGCCACCGCATGATTTCTGTTCTCATCCTGAAGTAAAGTTCTTAACCAGAGGTACTAGTTCTGAGTCTGTAACCTGAAGCGTCTGTAACCCGAGGTACCACTGTATGTGACTCCAGCAGATTACCCTCCAGGGCATGTGACCCCCAGCAAAAAAAAGGCTGCCCACCCTGCTTTAGACGTTCTACTGATAGTGTGAGGGATGGCTTACTGATGAGCAGCTACTTTGCAGCTGGGAAATGTGTTTTAAGTTCTTCAACTGTGTGAGTGGGGGAAAGAAGCCTTGGTCTATTGAGAAAGAGAGATTAGCTTGTGTGTGCAGATGCAGAACACTCCAGTTGAAGGAAAGTGGGGGCTTCAAAGTTCTCTTTTGGTCTTGCCATCAGTAACTGGTCTCTACCCTAGCAGGAGACTTGCTGCTGCAAGGGTAGTGGAATTTTGACAAAATAAAATTAACAAGGACTCACCAGTGAAGATTGCTTGGTGCCTGAGGATAGAGATAATAGAGCAGAACAACCCTTTCACTGTACTTTGAGGATTGATTTGAAAGCATTGGGGGCAGTAAAGAGTGCGGAGAGGGAGGCCTGGATGTTGTCAACAGGAAACTTAACAGGGGGACTTGTGGGCATTCCTGCCGGACCTGCTGGATGTTTCCTGCAAGGACTAGTTCTTGTTCCGCCTTGCTTTGAATCCTTGCCAGATTTCCCATCAGCCTAAAGAGTGCATGGAAGATGCACCATTCCTAGCTCAGGAAGACTGCAGGTAAATGCAAGGAAGTTTCACAAGGAAGTGATGCGGCTGAGTGGCAGAGGGAGAGGCTTGGGTTATCACTTTCTGGGCCACGACCCTGTCTTTTGGCAAGGTACATACTGCTGTGTCGGTGGAGATATATGGAGGTGATGCAGAGAGGCTTAGATTTTGGACAACCTAGACCTTAACAGGTGTTTTTATTAGCTTGTCGATTGCTTTTGGTTTGGACCCTTTTTTTAATCTCAGCGAGTTCCCTTGAGCCCTGAAATTGCCCCCCTTTCTTACCTCCCCCTGTTTTGGTTGTGTTCCTCTTTGGAGAAAAGAAGGCTTCTTTTTTATAGAGAGAGAGAGCGAGCTGAAGAGTCAGTATGGCAAGAACCAGTCAAAAATTTAAAGATTCGTGTAGGGGGAGTAGATGATGAGCGTAGATGGGGGCTTTGTAATGGTAGAGTCACCACCTGGATTCTGTGTTACCTTTCAGATTTCCTGAGCCCCCTGAAGAAGTGGAAGTCTCGCTATCTAATGGAGCAGAGCGTTACCAAGTTATTGAGACCGCTTTCTCCAGTCACTCCCCCACTTCCTGACCCCTCGGTTCCAGATGCGCTGAGCCCACACCTCACCACGTCCTCCTCATCTATGCCAGGAGAGGAGGAATGTCGAAGTAGCTGCGGTGTGATCTTCTCACCAATTCCCTCCTTGGCTGCTAGTCGATGTAATACTCCACTACAGTTTGAGGTAAGTTGGGGGGGGGGCAGGACGGCAGCTTTCCCCGCAGACCTAGGATGTATACATCAAAACTCCTTGAAAAGACGCACTAAGAAATGAGAAGATAGGTTTTTAAAAGAATCCTGTGTATTCCGAGAATCTGGCACCTGCAGATTATAAAGTCCCTATTCTCCTTTATTGTTATGCACAGTAGATGGATACTAGAGTGTGCAAGGGGTTACAGGTTACCAGAAACACTATTCCCTGCCCTCTGATTCACTTAATCTCAGCTTCCCCACCCCAGTAGCATCCAGAGATGCTGTCAGCTTCTGGGCTGCTGCTCCCCTGCATTCACCTCTTAGCAAACTCTAAGCTTTGGAGAACATTAGCTGCATTGCATCCCAAGAATTCCCCATCTGCATGATGTGTTTCCTGTTCTTCTTACAGCCATTTGCCCCCCCCCTCAAAACTTCTGTAAACCTTTGTAGCGCAATGCAGGTGCGAGTTGCGCAGGTAGCCTCAGTTTTGCAGTTTCCCTCATGACAAGCACGTGCCAGTGCTTTCATTCTGAAGCACCCCGTTTTCCAACTTTTTATTGTGTCCCATATTTGTGCTTGGGGTGGAGTTGGCACTTCCCATTCCCATTTTTCAATATTGGGCCACTAAACTCTTTAGAGGTCTGCTGCTGCCCCTTAGCAAAACTCCCTGGAAATGTCTATTCTTATGAAAGTTGAGATGACCACAATTTGGGATTCTGGACTCTCTGCTATTCTCAGCTTTCTGCATAATTGTATGGGCTTTGAGTCTGGGCTGTGCATTTCTGTACACATAAGAAAACGCTATTGCACCGAGACAACCCAGACTGTTGGAATCCAGCTTCTAAAATGGTGCAAATCGGAAGCCTTTGCATGATTTCTCGTTCTTTGCAGAACTCTACTTCTGTTTTTTTTTTTTTTAACGAAATGTATGTACCGCTTGATTGTAACATAACCTCTAAGTGGTTTACAAGGAGGATTTATTCTGCTGACTGGGATGGCAACTTAAGCCGCTTTAAATCCTGCTCACCAGCAGCCCTGACTGCTAAGATACCATCAGGCATTGCCCACATATTCTCAAGTGTAGCTTCGCAACCATAGTTGCTCCTTTGAAAAAAAGTAAAACAAGATTCCTAAGCTGAATTCTGTGGCTGGTGTCCTGTGGCTTTTCTATACTTCCATATAATTGTAGCATTTCCACCACCGCGATTATGGCCCTGCTGCTTGAGCGCAAATGGGTTGGTCATTGTACGGTGCCTGATCATTAATTTTGCTTACTATCCAAATGGCAAGATCCCCAATCACTTTCCCAGTGCCTTTGGATTCAGGTCTCGTGGGCTCTTGCACGGTGAGGCCACTTCCAGTTCTGCATGGAAACGGAGACAGGACTCATTGGGCTGGGGAGAAATGCAGAATCGTGGTGTTGCCGGAAGCCACAGAAACTTGAGTGGCCTTAGCTGCACCAGTCTTAGTGAGACAGTGGCATGGGATGTCACTAGGACTTTGTATCTTGAGACTGGACGTTGGTCCCAATTTGCACTCCTGATTTGAAGCGGCACGTAAGGAGTGTTGGTCATCGCAAACTTCAGTCAGACTTCAAAGGTTTCTGCCCCGTGTAAGAAAGTGAGCAGCTTCTGCTGCTGTATGACTGAGTTTCCTGCCCACCTGCCCCTCTTTCTGTGTGTTGTAGGGAAGGAGCCTTCCAATGTGTTAAGGTTTCTACCACCCATTCTCCCCAGTTCCCCTGTGTTGAGGCTTCCCCTTTTCACACCATTCCACTCATTCATGACACGTTCTTTATGTTTCCTTTAAATTATTTCCTGCTGCATTTCTGCCCAATCCATAATTGTCTTTTTTAAAAAGGAAGAAGCAAGTTAAATAATACCAGTGCATTGTTAAACAGCAGATAGAAATAGGTCAAAGCAGTTTGAGCAGCCATCAGGTTGAGCCTGCCTCCTAGAAAATCAACGGCGAAGCTATAAAAAGTTACAAAAAAACCTCAACCACACAAAAACAAACACAATAAAAAATAGCCCAAAGCGCCGAGGACCTTCTGGAGGTTCCCTCACTGCGAGAAGTGAAGTTACAGGGAACCAGGCAGAGGGCCTTCTCGGTGGTGGCGCCTGCCCTATGGAACGCCCTCCCAGCAGATGTCAAGGCAATAAACAACTATCTTACTTTTAAAAGACACCTGAAGGCAGCCCTGTGTTGGGAAGTTTTTAATGTTTAATGCTGTATTGTGTTTTTAACATTTGCTTGGGAGCCGCCCAGAGTGGCTGGGGAAACCCAGCCAGATGGGTGGGGTATAAAAAATAATATTTTATTATTATTTTTATTTTATTTTATTTTCCCAAACTTGGGAATTCATCTGTTGTTGAACTGCAACTCCCAACATCCCTAGCTAGCAGGACCAGTGGTCAGGGATGATGGGAACTGTAGTCCCAAAACAGCTGGAGACCCAAGTTTGGGAACCCCTGCTCAAGAACATATTTCACTGTGCTTACGTGGTTTAGAGTTTAACCAGTCTTTCTCAATCCCATGTGCTCTCGATGTCTGAACTACATATGCCATCAGCCTAGGAGTTGTAGTCCAAAGCATTTGAGGAGCCCCGGGGTGGGGAAGGGTAGTTTAGATAAAAGTACTTGTTGTGGGTCTGTGTCTCATGGGCTTCTGCGCTTAGGGATCTGAAGCTGTCTTACCTTGGAAGTGTTCAGAAGCTCAATATTTAATCAGTTTTTAGTGGGGGGTTTTTGAGAGAGAGAGAGACCCAAAGTGACTTTCTTGGTAAAAGGATTTATGGCATGGCGACATCAGCTTAATAAAGGGGTTCTGCCATGTGTCACTGCTCTTTTCCCCCAACCAAATGTGGCTCTCAAATGGCTGCCTGACAGAGACATGCTACACCTGGGGTAGAGCCACCGGCCAGCATAACCCAGCAGATTCTGAGGGGGTCAGGTCTCCTCCTGCAGCTCGTGCTTTCCAGCACTGCATACCTCAGGAAGGGACCCTAGGTTTACGGAGGAAGAGAAAGATGCTTTCATGCAACGTTGCAGTTCCAGGTATGGAAGCATCTCCCATGCTTCATGCCCACCTTCCCTCAAGGAGCTAGTACCATAATTTCATATCCACTGTATCTCAAGGAGCAGCCAGCTGAGGATTTTCTACATAATGCCTTCACCTTTCAGTCCAGTCTGAAAGCAAGGCATTGTGGGTAGAGAGTGATACGCCAGCTCTCATCCGAGTGATGGGCTTCGTGAGGTGTTGCTGGTTGGCCGGGCATCCTTGGAACGCAAGGCAATGGAATGATCTCCGGTTTCTGCGCTGTCCTTTCATCCGGATACTAAAGTTGTAGCATGAGACACAGTAACTCCATCCTGTTTTTTCCCCCTACTCTGAAATCCATGTAATGTGTTTACTCCCCCCCCCCCAAGTGATGAGGCCACCCGTTTGATAGTCTCTTATCCTGCCCCCCACCCCCCGCAAATAGTTGTGGCTAACCTCTATGCTTGTTTCTTTTCTTTTTTTTTACTTCATTTTATTTTGCTTCTTGACTTGTAAAATTAGATGAATAACAAGATGCTTTTCCCTCCTAGAACGTATCCTCCCCTGAGAGTTCCCCTGCGCATAGGCCCGAGTCCCTGTCGCCCGAGGTAGTTATCACACCATCTCAATTGGAGGCGGAGAGAGTGTGTAGTTTGCGTGGTGAGCGTGTGTGTGTGTGTGTGTGTGTGTACACTTGGAGGGAGGAGGGATAGGGGAAGCAGCGGGTGGGGAAGAAGGGGCTAGTCAAGTCAGATTCCTTTGTTGTTGAAGTTGAGCATTGAGCGGTGAACGAAGGGGAAATGCCAACCACTTTCCAGTTAATTCTTCTGAAGTAGCATTTCCTGGGGAGTGGGGGAGAGAGAGAGAAGGGAAGGGAGAGGAGAAAATGAATCAGACTCTTTTAATTTTTGGTGGCTGGCCCTGGGCCTTGCAACCACTGTGCTGTATGTTTTATTGAACCCATCTTCTTAATCCATTGCAGCATAGACAGTCCTGCTCCTGCTCTGTGCCAAAAGTCCACATTCTTCAAGATACAAACTCTGCGGTCAGATTCAATTGTGCAACTCGATAAGCATAATGCAAAGTTAATTGTTTTGTCTGGTGGAGTTTGGAGTCTGAGGCCAGGGAGCGATATGGCTCCTAAGAGGGCAAGGATGGCTATGTGGTTGTACAGACCAAGAGATAATTTTCCGGCAGGATTTGTTCTGTTTTTGTTTTTAGGCCATGCTTGTTTTATAACAAACTGTTTTGATGCATGGCATCCACCGAAAAGCAATGTAACACACTTTTATAAAACCATTGCATGAGTAGCGGAACATAGAGCCCAAGAGGAGAAGGGAGGGACAGGTTCTGAAAGAGGACAGAAACTTAGGTCTAGCTTCCCAGAAATCTAGTTAAAACAGTGTGCCGGGTGCCACAGTCAGTCTGGAACTGCAAAAGGCCAACGGCCCTCAACCTGAATGTCTCAAACAAGTACCAAACTGGGGAGTTGATCACTGACGGCTGCCCTCCTGGATAGCCAAAAAGTGCCTGGACTTTCCAAAGCATTAGACACAGCATGATGAGAACTCCCATTTAGCACACTGGTAACGTGAAGTTTTACCGGGCCAATAAGGTCTGGTTGCATCCCTCCAGTCTGTCTTCCATCGTGAAGAGCAAAATGGATTGAAGACTGCAGGTCATAGGATTCCGGCAGAGGCTTACGGGTACCTTCATGACTTTATGCATTTGTACTCTCCCACCCCAGTGCCCTAAATCTGCCACACACATCTTGTCTGATGTATGTATTTGCACCCACACGGCATTTTGTGCATTACAGTACACACAAGCACGCACACCTTTCCTTGCCTAGAGATTGATCTTTGTGAAGGAAAGGGGTGCGACACAGCTCTTAGGTTTGTCTGCTTTCACTCCAAGGCAGCGGGACAATGGAGCTTTGTTTTGTAACCCTCCCACCTCCAGCCTATCAAACGGAGAAGCAGCACTTTGTGGAGCGGGGTTATTACCCCCCCCCTTTCAGTTTAGGTGGTCAGCCTGCAAGCATAATGTTGGGGTGCTGTATATAAACACTACCATGCCAAAAATTCAAGATAACAGCAAAAGGGATAGAAGGTAATAATGGACATCGCTGCAAAGCTTGAGGTAGGCAGTGCACTGTCAACAGTTTTCTAAGTTGCAGAGCAGGAATGAGCTATGCAGTATGGTTTATGTTCGTTGGTCTTATTTTGATCAGAGTACAGAGGCTTTTGTAAATCCTTGACAGCTTGGACAGGGATGGGAGTTATTGGGAGCAGAGGAAAGCTTGGGAGCAGTGCAGGGTGCCAAAGATTCATCCCCATTGAATGGGCAGCTCCTCTCCCAATTGCTTTTTAATATAGCCACCACCCACACTTTTTTAAAGGGCCTTTTAATAATTGGAATCCTGTTAACCCAGGATTCTGCCCGTGGCTTGCATGCCATCCCGCGAAGCTTAGCTTCTGTCCCGTGTGCTTGTCAGTTCTCTTCTTAAGAGATTTCTGAGTGCCGTGAAGCGTGCTTGCAAAGTGTGCTTGTGACTAGCTTTACAACAAAGAGTTTGGTGGATACGAGTACCTGGTGTGTGGTGCCTTGAAGTTTTCCTTGATTCTTCACCTTTTATTGAAATGGTTGTGACGTTATATGTTAAATAGTGACCTTGAAAACACACCGAGGCTCATTTGAGCCGCCAACATCTCCATCCACGAGGGGGAGGGACCCTGCAAATTTAATTTGCCTCCAGAAATTCTGCAGAGGAAGAGAGCGACTATGCAGCTAGGGGGGAGAAAAAACCCAGGCAGAGCGGAGAGCAAAAGACTGGGAACAAAGAGTGAGAAAGCCGTATATGTGCTGTCCATGAGAAAGGGGGTCTTTCCTGAATTAAAAGTCTTTTTCTCTTGTCTGCCCCTTTCACCTGCTTCTCTACCCTGTCTGATATCCTCTCCCTCGCCCGCCCCCACACCCCCTTTGTTGGTCCTTCCAGCTCTGCCTCAGGACGGACCTTGACCTACAGAAGGCAGGATTCCTGGATGCCAGCGCTAACAGCTGTCCAGAGAAACCCTCCTTGCTCACTCCGGGGCATTCTGACCTGGCATCCCAGCCCTTGGAGACCAGCTTCCCAGGAAAGAGTGGAGAAGCCCAGGCGCTGCTACGAAGTTCCGACCAGGCTTTTCGGACAGAGTTTAACTTGATGTATGCCTTCTCCCCTCTGAACGCTATGCCTCGGGCAGACGGATTGTTACGAGAGTCTCCGCAGATGGCCGATGGGAAGCTTCTGAATCCAGACAGGGGCTGCTGCAGCTCCCCTGCGGAGGGATACTTTGGCAGGCACGAGCAGGCGCTTCTGAAAGAAGCCGCGCACGGACCCTTGCCCCCCTGCGGCGAGAAAACCTGCGAAGGCGTGAAATCCACACCCCAGAACCCTCCGCAGAGGAAAAAGGCAAGTAACATGAGTAACACGAGCACAGTCACTCCAGGGAGAAAGGAAGGCCTGCCCGGGATGTGTGTGTGTGTGCGCGCTGGGAAATCATACAAGAGGAGGCAGCCTGGAGCCTGCTGAGAGACATGCAGACTCTCCATTTCTTGGTAGGGTGAGCAGCTGAGGAATCTTTCTTTGGTGGGAACAGGATGAAAGCAGACCTCACGTCCCTGGAGAAGTCCATGCAACAGGGTGCGGAGTCTGTTCTTAGAGGGTGGTTCTGATCTCCGCTTTGTGTTGTCCTTGAGTCTGTGTGACCCGGAGGTCTGGCTTTAGGTTTCCTGCTGGCTATAGGCTGGAGATAACACCCGGGGACGCGGGTGGCGCTGTGGGTAAAAGCCTCAGCGCCTAGGGCTTGCCGATCGAAAGGTCGGCGGTTCGAATCCCCGCGGCGGGGTGCGCTCCCATTGCTCGGTCCCAGCGCCTGCCAACCTAGCAGTTCGAAAGCACCCCCGGGTGCAAGTAGATAAATAGGGGCCGCTTTCTAGCGGGAAGGTAAACGGTGTTTCCGTGTGCGGCTCTGGCTCGCCAGAGCAGCGATGTCACGCTGGCCACGTGACCCGGAAGTGTCTCCGGACAGCGCTGGCCCCTGGCCTCTTGAGTGAGATGGGCGCACAACCCCAGAGTCTGTCAAGACTGGCCCGTACGGGCAGGGGTACCTTTACCTTTACCTTTATAGGCTGGAGAGCAGCTTCCTTGCACCAGCACAAAACCCATGTAGCCCACAGGGCATTGCAGCAGGTGCCTTTTAAGCGCATGCACGTGCGCACGCACGAGTGTTGAGTTACGTCACCTGCCTGAAGCTGATGATAGCCTTTTCTCTCCTAGGTATCCCTTCTGGAGTACCGCAAACGAAAGCAAGAAGCCAAGGAGGGAGGGGATTCCTCTCGATGCACAGGGACACCCACCCGGCTGAGTGTCAGCTGCTCGGGGGCGGATGTGGATGCTGCTGGCCTCCTGCAGGGCTCGGGGGCCCACACCCTGTCTTCTCCACAGCACGGCTTCTCCCCCTCTCATTCTTCTTCCTCTCACCTGGAGGAAGTCAGCCCACCAGAACCACGGGGGACCACGCACAGCAAATCCCAGGACAGCATCAGCAGTAGATGGTGAGTCTCAGGAAGCAAACTGTGGCAGAGACATGTGTTGCTTCTAGGAGTTCCTCCCTGACGAGATGAAAAGAGATTAAAAATGTTTGTGCCCTGTGCCGTGTCTTGCCTCACTTTGGTCTTAAAGGGCAGGATGATAACCTCGATAGCGAACCTTCAGCACAGAGAGAGCACTTTTCACAGCTCTCCCTTACTGTGGGCTGCAGTCTGCAAAGAGCCACCCTGCTGGATTCGACCAAAGGCCTGTCCAGCATTGTTTCCAGCAATGGCCTGCCAGGTAATTTCAGGAAACTTACAAGGAGATCAGAAAACAACAGCCTCTTACTCGTCCCAAGCATCTGGTATTCAGAGTCCAGTTGCCTCTGAATGCAGAGGTTCTGTTAAGTTATCACAGCTAATTGCCATTATTTTGCTGTCAGTAAACTTACAGAATTTGGCTTCCCACATTTTTGTTTTTACCTTGCCACATATTGATACTGCTTCTATAAGCAAGTTGCAACACTACAGTGGTACCTCGGGTTACGTACTTAATTCGCTCCGGAGGTCCGTTCTTAACCTGAAACTGTTCTTAACCTGAAGCACCACTTTAGCTAATGGGGCCTCCCGCTGCCGCCGCACCATTTCTGTTCTAGGAAAGTTCTTAACCCGAGGTAATATTTCTGGGTTAGCGGAGTCTGTAACCTGAAGCATATGTAACCTGAAGCGTATGTAACCCGAGGTACCACTGTAGTAGCATCTGAGTTCAGTGGTTCCAAAGACTGTGGTCTTTGTTAGATCTGCAGCGTTACATGCGCTCCGGAGCTCCAACTTTTCTGCCCTTCGCAACTAGCGGGCAGTGGTGGGGCAGAGCTGTTTCAGAGTGGGGGGGGGGGTTAGAGTCTTGTACACTCAAGCTTGTTACGTTTCCTCCTGAGGACCTTCCTCTACCTTTGCGTACAGATAACTGACCTTTTCTGCTGCATCAGCTATACTGGGGACAGGCGGTGACTTCGAATCACAAGCCATATTTACACAAGAGCCTCTACAGATTTGCTGTGCTTTGCACTATTGGCACACAGGTTTCATTTTAAAAGAAATGAAGTTTCCATCTCTCTCAGTTGCCAAGGAACTGCCTTTGCAATCTAAACAGATGGGCTCCTCCTCCTATTAACCCTGCCCTGCAAAAAGCTCCTGCTAGCCAAAGAAAAGCAGCAGTAAATATGTACATTCCTTCCTTCCACATCCCCACCCATATATATATCCCCTCATTGAAATGTGACCACCTGTCTAGCTCATTTTTGCAAATTAACTATAAAGACATAAAATATGCAGATTCAATGGGAGGGAGGGATCTAGCGCGTAAGCTTTTTGATTTCAATACTTGAAATACAGTGGTACCTCAGGTTACATACGCTTCAGGTTACAGACTCCGCTAACCCAGAAATAGTGCTTCAGGTTAAGAACTTTGCTTCAGGATGAGAACAGAAATCGTGCTCCGGCGGTGCGGCAGCAGCAGGAGGCCCCATTAGCTAAAGTGGTGCTTCAGGTTAAGAACAGTTTCAGGTTAAGAACGGACCTCTGGAACGAATTAAGTACTTAACCCGAGGTACCACTGTACCAGCATTGATTGTACTGTAAAAGTTGGAGCGGAAGTACCCATTGGAGTTAAGCCAGGAACTGGGGGGGAGGGGTGATTTTTAAAATTGGGTTGCAAACATAATTATGAAACTCAAAAGGGTTTTCCAAAAGGGTGAAATTCTGGCTGCCGTGCTTCAGCGTAGAACATGCTGTACGCGCCTTCTTTCTCACTCCTTGCAACTGCCTTGTGAAGGAGGCTGGGCACCATTGTTCCAATTTTACTTATAGTAAAAAGTTGAGAGTCGAATGACCTATCCAAAGCCACTTCAGCGAGTCCAGTTCTCACTAAAATGAGAAAAATCCACACCGGCTGTGTAAAATGAGCATTTTAACATTTCAAATTACCTTGGCGAGCAGAGCATGGTGAAATAGAGCTTTGTTTTCTGCATTACAACTTCATTTGTGTATCGACTGGAGACCTCTCTTTGTATGATCCTAAAGCACAAAGTAAAATCTCGGACTATATTTTTACTGCCCCAGAGCAAACCATCCTAATATACTCTGCAGCCGTGGCAGCATTCCAGCAGTGGTTGGGTTGCTCGTACAATATCCTGTGTATTCCTCGGACTCTTATCCCAGGGTAACTGCCTTCTGTTTCCCCCAACAAAACTATAGAAATAGGCTGCAGTGTTACCATTTGATTAAAATGGTTATTTGTCTCTAATGAATATTTTCTAGCCATCATTGTGAGGCAAGCTCCACTCTGCCCTAGAATTAAACAGCACTTGCCTCAACAACTAAGGTGCACAAGCCTTAAGCTGCCGGTTGCGCATATTGTAGAAATACACATGAACAAAACCCCTCCAGACCGCAGGGGAACCTTTCAATATAATAAACTACAGTTGTTGTTGTTGTTTAAAACCCCCCCAACAAAACATTGTCACGAGATGCTTGAAATTGTTTAGACCTCTTGAAGGGTCCAGAGGTGTCATTCCCATTCTCGCTCTTTTGTGCCCTGCTATAGGATGGTTCCCACCTCGGTGGAGCGGCTGCGAGAAGGCCGTGGGATTCTGGAGAAGGTTTTACGCAGCAGCGCCAAGTTGTGTCAGAGAGGAGAGCCCTCGCCCACCCGGGAGAGCCTAGGGGAGAGAGAAGCAGGTAAATGGGAATGCACTTGGGGGGTGGGGAGCTGCCTTTGGAGCTCAAGCAGGTGGGGCTGAATCTACAGGCAGGGCTCTGATCTTGTGGAATGACGGAGTCCAAGGCCGTCTGTGACTTACGGGACTTCTGCTCCACGTGGCGCAGGCTCACATCACTCCAAACAAAGCAGTTGAGATTCATTCGCTAGCTTTGTCTTGGGGATGCCGATATAAGTCTCTCTCTACTGATTGACTTACACAAGTGCAGTGAGGTATTCAAGAAGAGGCTAGGCAGGCACAGAATTGAAGAGTTCAAAGAGACCCCAAGGGTCTTCTAGTCCAACCTCCTGCAATGCAGGAATCTCAGCAGAAGCATCCATGACAGATGCCCATCCAACCTCTGCTTAAAAACCTCCAAGGAAGGAGAGTCCATCACCTCCTGAATGAGTCTGTTGATCCACTGTCAAACAGCTCTTACCATCAGAAATTTCTACCCGATGTTTAGTTGGAGTCTCCTTTCTTTGTAATTTGAATCCCTTGGTTTGGGTCCTAGCCTCCAGAGCAGAAGAAAACAAGCTTGCTCTATCCTCCATGTGGAAGCCCTTGAGATATTTGAAGGTGGCGATCGTATCTCCTCTCAGTCTCCTCTTTATCTCAACTGTTCCTCGTAAGGCTTGGTTTCCAGACCCTTGATCATCTTGGTTGCCTTCCTCTGCACACATTCCAGCTTGTCCGTGTCCTTCTTAAATTGGGACACCCAGAACTGGACACAGTACTCTAGCTGTGGTCTGACCAAGGCAGAAGAGAGGAAAGGGGATTGACTAGATAAGGCCATGATTCTGTGAAAGAGAGCCTTTCTCTCCCCCCCTGCCTTCAGTGTTGCTCCTCTAGCTATTGAGGTTTTATTAGTTTTATTCTAATCCTTGCCTACATTTCAGTTTTTCTAGAGCTGGGGCTCTTCAGGGGGTCTCTCTCTCACCTGTCCCTGCTACAGGGGCTCACCTGTAGCTGGTTCCTCCTAATCCAGCAACCTGTCTTTCTGCTGCTAGACCCTCTCTGCTCTGCCTTCCAGATGCTGCGGAAGGAGATTCGACAGACCCCCTCAACCCTTCCCTCAAGGGACCAGCCGTTTATAGTCCTTCACGTTACAGCTACCAGGTACGTGAGGCGATACCCGCCTCGTGCCGTTCACGGTTCCCGTGCAGTTGGCACTCGGGCGCAGCCCAGCCTTTCTTGCCGGGGTCTCTGAGCTGCAGAGCCGGATGCCGAACGGCGGTTTTGTGATGCCTGCTTCTTTCCCTTGCAGCTCTTGCAGTCGGACAGCCCGCGGGCGGAGTCGCAGACCGTCCTCCAGAGCGCCTCCCCGTACCGGGGACATCCCATGCCATCCCCTGGCTACAGCTACAGGTCCCAGTCCCAGAGAGCAGGGCACCTTCCGCCCCTTGGCTCCTCGGAACCCTCCCTTTCCTCTGTCCCCCCGGTCGCCACAGACTCCTCGGCTCTGTTTGCAGGGAACTCTGGGTATTATGGCAGCCAGCAGCCGTCTGGCAGTGGCGTCTTGAAGAAGAGCTGCCCCGTAGCCACTGCTCCCAGCCCTGCCCAAACGGCGGCAGCCGTAGACTGTTTGCCCCCCTCTGAAACAGGGTCTCATCCCTGCGTGGGAACCGCCGGCTGCCCTCCTTCCTCCTCCTCCTCCTCCTCCTCCACCACCACCACCACTTCCTCGTTGTCGTCTTCTTCCTCGTCGTCCTCCAGGCCCTCGCAGTCAGACTTGCGGACTATCAACCCTCCCGCCTCTGGGCAGCCTGCTCTGTACCAGAGCTCCAGAGCCGCAGCACTTTCCAGCTCGCAGCAGCAGCACTACTCTCACCGAGGGGGAGGAGGCGGCATCAATCAATACAGACTGCAGCAGCTTGCAGGGTCAGGCGTAAAGACTCAGACCGGCCTTTCTTAGGGCAGGACAGACTAGAGCCCACCGTTCCTTCTGGCAGTGGCTGACGGGGGAGCCATGCCGGGACAGCAAAGGACCCAGAGGCTGGGGCTCTGGGGTGTCCTGGGCAAGAGAGAGCACTGCTGGCCACCCCCTGGCTTTGGAAGGAGGAGAAGGCAGTGGCGGCGGCAGAATTGGCAGAAAAGCATCTCCCTGGTGTCCGGGTACGTTGTAGAAAGCAAACGGTGCTGAGTGGCATGGCCTCTGTCTCCTACCGGTGCCCTTAGCTGTAGTCACCTGGGCAGGTAGGGAAAGCTTGAATATGAAACCAGTGCAAATCAGAAAAAATAAATAAATAGGGGAGATGGGGATATGTGGGGGGAGGGGGGCGTTAATCTAAATCCCAAAGTGCTCTCTGCAAGGTTGGGTTCCCAGAGTATTCTGGTCGGGGAGGGTTGGGGGCTTAGTCCATTCTGATCATTCCAGTTGCAAAGAAAGAGCATTTGTGGGAGAGAAGCAAGAGCCGTGGGGTGGGGCTGGTAGCAGTGTGAGTGCGTGCGTGTGTGTGTGCGTGTGTGTGTGTGTGTGTGTGAGAGAGAGAGAGAGAGAGAGAGATAGGGCAGGGTGTGCATGCAGGCATTGCTGCAAAAAGTGACTCTAGTAAGTCCATACTATGCCTCTGAAGTTGGCATCTCGCTGCCAGTGAGGGGGTGGCCTAGGGGTGTGGTCAGTTCGTTCCAAGAGGCCAGTGCTGCGGCAGTGGGAATATGGACGGTGGCTTGCTTTAGGCCTTAATTCTAGGTGGGGGTGATGAGCGAGGTGCCCAGTCTGGTGGCATTGCTGCTGCGGTGGTCAGGAGTATCGTGGAGTGCATGAGAAACGCGCCTGCTACCTCCCCCTGAGGCCCAAGAGCAACAACACCAGGCCCGCCAAATGCTCTGTCAAATTCCATACAGTTGCCAGCTTTTCTCACTTGTTTACCTGTCAAGCGTGCATTTTTATTTATCTAATTTTATATTCAGTTATAACCATAGTAGGTTAGCAAAAATATCAGGCAGGTCTAACCCTGGTCCTGCCAAGGACCTTCTCGTTTCCTCTCGGACAAGATATTGCTGTGAGCATGTCTTCCTTCATTTCTCAGATGCACAGTCTCCCCCCCCCCTCCCATTTCTTTCTTTTTTTTAAAAAAAAATAATAATAATTAGGACTGTTACAAGTTTCTCTAATCCACAACTGAAATCAGGTGTTCATTCGACTTAGAGGAAACTTTTAAAATTGATCAGAGCAGAGCAGAAGAAATAAACGAACCCTTTCCTTCAAAAGTGTCTGGCTGTTAGCGTGTTGGGGATAGAACTTGTCACCCACAAGACAAGTCCTATATACTGTATAAAACAAGGGTGTCAGCTTCACTGGGCTTTGCAGCCTCCCTTTCCGACATGCTGAGCATGCCTCGTGGGGGTGAGCATTGCAAGCGATGATTCTGGAGATCAGGCAAAAGGCGATGCGCCTGTTCTGTGTGCAGTCGCTGGGAAGGAGCCACCAGGAAGTTTGGGGGGCAGGCGGGCGAGCTGTAGCGCTGCCCTCAAGTGGAGTTGTACACTGTGCTGTAACATTTGAACTTTCACAAGAGATGTAATAATTTTGATAATAAAATACTTAACTTGAAAACCAGCCTGTGGTGCTCTCTCACTGGGTTCTTGGGCGATGGAAGTGTGGTTTTGTTCGCGCAAAATTCAGGTGAAGCCGAAGGGACAGGGTGCCTTGTTGCACACAGCCCAAGATTTCAGCCCTCCTTTCAACATAACAGCCCTCAAGATCTGGAAATCGTTGAGGGAAAGAGAACCCCAAAGTTAAGGGGCAGTTGCTGAGAGTGCCCCTTTTCTCATCCTTGTTGGACTGGAAAGGCAGAGTGGTCTTTGTACGTCAGGTACGCCCCCATCAACCCAGTCACCTTGAATGGCAAGCTGCGGGAAGAGGCTAATGCAAATCTGAACTTGTATGAAGAAATCATGCTTGAAAACTGTAAGAACCACCAACCAACTATAGTGGTACCTCGGGTTAAGTACTTAATTCGTTCCGGAGGTCCGTTCTTAACCTGAAACTCTTCTTAACCTGAAGCACCACTTTAGCTAATGGGGCCTCCCGCTGTTGCTGCGCTGCTGGAGCGCAATTTCTGTTCTCATCCTGAAGCAAAGTTCTTAACCCGAGGTACTATTTTTGGGTTAGAGTCTGTAACCTGAAGCGTCTGTAACCCGAGGTACCACTGTAGTCAGGTAAGAACCAACGGATCCTTCTCTAGAGGTGGTGAACCTCAGTCATTGTGGGTTGTACTAACTAAAGCTATTTAAAAATCCCATCAGGTGGGGAAAGTTGTCTGCCAGTGAATAACTTCTTGTCCAAAGGCTGCCTCTGCTGAGGTGTATCGATTTTATAAGCATATTTTTATTACGGAATGCTCTCCCCCAAGAGATTCACCTGTCGCCTACCTTAACTGTCTCAAGCTTTTTCACATAACCATTTTAATCTTGCTGACTCCTGTGTTGTTTTTATGATTGTGTAGCTTTTAGTTCATTATGTTTTCCACATTTTTGTTCTTTTTGCTGGGGCTGTGGTTGAAGTGTGGTATGAAAATACTCGCAGCCAAATAAATATGGCTTCCACCATGCTTGGACATGGGGAGAGCACTGACTTAGACACTGCTAAGATGCGGGTGGCACTGTGGTCTAAACCACTGAGCCTCTTGCCAATCAGAAGGTCAGTGGTTCAAATCCCCGCGATGGACTGAGCTCCCATTGCTCTGCCCCAGATTCTGCTAACCTAGCAGTTGGAAATCACGCCAGTGCGAGTAGATAAATAGGTACCGCTGCAGTGGGAAGGTAAATGGCGTTTCTGTGTGCTCTGGTTTCCATCACTGTGTTCTGTTGCACCAGAAGTCATGCTGGCCACATGACCCGGAAAGCTGTCAGTGGACAAACGCCAGCTCCCTCGGCCTGAAAGCAAGATGAGCGCCACAACTCCATAGTCACCTTTGACTGGACTTAACTGTCCAGGGGTCCTTTAGCTTTTTACTGAAACCAAATGAGAAGAGGGTGTCTCGGAACTTACTGATGAACAGGTGTGGAGGCAGAGTGGCAACCTGTGAAATCTCTTGGGGAAACATTTCGTGGTATTGACAAGCAACTGACATCATCCTCTGGGACTTGTGAGTGCTGAGAAGGTGCCAGAAGGTTTGTAAAATTCACATTAGGTTTGCTGCTGCTTTGATTGGAACTCAGAGCAATACCAGAACAGTACGTTTTTGTTTTTCAAATGCCCAGAGTTGACACTTGACCTCATGAATTTATAAAAGTAAACTGAAGATCCAATACACAAAACTCGAAATGCTTTATACGTACTGGGCTATACTGAACTTTTTGTTCTAGCCGAGAAGCCAATTTTACCACACCTAATGGTCCCAAGGGACGCAAGTGGCACTGTGGTCTAAACCACAGAGCCTAGGGCTTGCCAATCGGAAGGTCGGCGGTTCGAATCCCCACGATGGGATGAGCCCCTGTTGCTTGGTCCCTGCTCCTGCCAACCTAGCAGTTCGAAAGCACACCAGTACAAGTAGATAAATAGGTACCGCTCTGGCAGGAAGGTAAACGGCATTTCCGTGTGCTGCTCTTGTTCGCCAGAAGCAACTTAGTCATGCTGGCCACATGACCTGGAAGCTGTCTGCTGGCTCCCTCGGCCAATAAAGCAAGATGAGCGCTGCAACCCCAGAGTCGTCCGCGACTGGACTTAATGGTCAGGGGTTCCTTTACCTAACGGTCCCAAAGATTGGACTTCAAAGCTGTTTGTCTCACATAACCTTTGCAATGGGATGGAATACCAAGCATGGTGGAATATAGTAGACTGAATATCCATCACTGGGAAATGGCATATGTCCCACTTTACCTCCAATGAGCTCAGTGTTATGTATATGGTCCTCTTCCTTCATTCATATTTTTATCCTCAACAACTCTATGAGGTAGGTTAGGCTGAGAGTGAGCGGCTGGCCCAAGGGCACCCAGTGAGTGTCAGGGCTGAGTGGGGGATTTGATCTCCCAGGTCCTCGTGCAGTACTCTAACCACTACACCACACTGGCTCCCTTTTCACATGTTCCAGCAGGACAGTGGTTGATTGGACTAATGATATGAATGGGTAGATCCACAGTCTTAACTAAAGTATTATCCTGAACAATAAGGTGCTGTGGTTGATGGTTGGGCTATATTCCCACTAACTAAGGTCCTATTCTCTCTGCACATGGGCAGGCACCCTCTTTGCAGCTGCAGTTTAACCCAGTTAAAAATTGGTTGCCTCCTGGAATCTGGCCCTCCCCTTTGCCTCATTGCTCAGGGCTCAAAGGTGGGAATCAGTTTTTCTGGGCTACCCTTTTTTTACTGCTGCATCACACAGTTGTCTCATGTTAAGCTTGTGGGTCTACTAAGACCCCTAGGTCCTTTTCCTACAGACTACTTGCAAGTCAGGTGCCCCTCCCCCCTATATTTGTGCTGCTGGTTCTTTGTGCCTAAGTGCAGGGCCAGACATTTGTCCCTATTGAAATTCATAGAATCATAGAGTTGGAAGAGACCACAAGGGCCATCGAGTCCAACCCCCTGCCAAGCAGGAAACACCATCAGAGCACTCCTGCAATATGGTTGTCAAGCCTCTGCTTAAAGACCTCCAAAGAAGGAGACTCCACCACACTCCTTGGCAGTAAATTCCACTGTCGATTTTGGAATTTACTAAATTCGTTTTGTTAGTTTGGGCTAATCTGTTACGGTCATCTTGAATCCCGATTCATACTGGGTCTTAGTAACCACAGCATCCTTTTCTAAGTGCTCACAGACTGACCTAGGACCTTTCCTGGTATCAAGGTCAAGCTCACCGGTCAGTAGGTACCTTAGGTGCAGCTCATCAGCCCCTGGAGATTTGAGTTTGTTTAAAGTAGCTAGGTGTTCCCTTACCACCTCTTTCGTCATTTTGGACTGCAGCATCCTTGCATCATTTATTCTGTTATCACCGGATGGGTGATAGCTTTCCCTTTGGATGAAGACAGAGGCAAAGTAGGTGTTGAGTATTTCCGCCTTTTCTCTGTCATCCAATAGTATTTCTCCATCCTCTACATGCAAGGGACCTACCACTCTTGCTTTTAAACATAGCCAAAGAAACCTTTTAAAATTATTTTTAACCTCTTGCAAGCCTGAGCTCATTCTGGGATATGGTCCACCTGGCCTCCTCCTTACAAATGTTGGCTGCTTGTGCATGCTCTTCCTTTGTGATTCCCCATTTTCCCATTTCTTATACATCTCAGCACATCTGCAAGCTCCTTATGCAGCCACACCAGTTTCTTCAGGTGCCTCCCACTTTCCTTTCTTGTTGGAATTGTCTGCCTTTGTGCCTTCAGTTTTTCCCCTTTAAGAAACTCGCATCCATCTTGGACTGCTTCCCCCCAGGATGATGAGGACAAGAGGGGAAATAATTACCGTAATTCTAGGCAGGGTCTCCTTGCTCTGTGTGCAGAGTGGTGTGTTGCATTGAACGCGCGGCAGCTTCATTGCGCAGTAGAGAAACCATTGGGGCTAGAAGTTGGGGTTTTTTAGCACATCAGAAGGGCGGTGCAGTGCCTACTGATACAGCAGTCTTGATATAAGCACAATAAAATTTGGTATAAGCCCATAATTTTCTCCAGGCCCTACTGCTGAGTTACAACCTTTCCCCATGTCTTGCAGGACTAGCGGAATTATTATTAAAAGTTATATGCTGCCCATCATTAAGAGATCATGGGGCACTTTACAACAAAACACACAAAATACATAATATAATAACATGGCAACCATAGTAAAGGTAAAGGGACATCTGACCATTAGGTCCAGTCGTGGCCGACTCTAGGGTTGTGGCGCTCATCTCGCTTTATTGGCCAAGGGAGCCGGCGTACAGCTTCCGGGTCATGTGGCCAGCATGACTAAGCTGCTTCTGGCGAACCAGAGCAGCGCACGGAAACGCCGTTTACCTTCCCGCCGGAGCGGTACCTATTTATCTACTTGCACTTTGACGTGCTTTCGAACTGCTAGGTTGGCAGGAGCTGGGACCGAGCAACGGGAGCTCACCCCGTCGCAGGGATTCGAACCGCCGACCTTCTGATCGGCAAGCCCTAGGCTCTGTGGTTTAACCCACAGCACCACCCGCGTCCCATGGCAATCATACCCTGAAGTAAATCTAGAAAACTTAGCTGCGTATGATCACTGCATGGTTAGCATTCTGTTGCAGACGTGCATTCCAACCTTGCAGCTATTGCTTCAGCCTTTGCTGCAGTTTCATAATCCACAGGCCCACCACTCCCTCTCACAGTGAACTCAGGTGGTTGAGCCCCAACAGAACTGGAACCAAAACAGCGGCTGAGAAACTGGGAGGAGGCATCCTTGGGAGTTTGCAGAAGAAAACCTGGCTGACAAACGGAACGGAGTATTCCTAAAGAATACTCTGGCCTGCTGGCTGGAACTCAAAACCAGGAGCTCTCCTGTGAGGAGGGGACGGTGCACTGCAACATTTTGTAGTGGAGGCTGTTTGCTCAGTCCTGGAGCTGAGCTCTTAACGTGCGCACCTGCCAGTGCTTAGTCTACATGCAGCCTCTCTGGTCCTTGCT